TTGCAACTAATCGAGCCTTGAACTTATCCACCTTACTAGATTCATTAAGTTTGGTCTTATATATCCATTTCACTCCAATCTTTTTAGCTCTAATTGGTAATTTAGTCAAACTTCATGTCTTATTTTTCTAAATTGATCTTATTTTAGCATTCATAGCTTGCCTCGACTTGGAACTTTTTATTGCCTCTCTATAGCTCAATGGATTAGTAAGAGTTACAAATGCCATATTCGACTCCTTTTTTCCTTCTCATAATCCTTCTCTAGATACATAGTCTCTCATATAAACATAAGCATTTATTTATCTTCTCTCATTCGAGTTAATATCCTTTTCATTTGTTGTATTTGAATAATCATTTCTTGTGCTTTTAATATCATTTTCACTTGTCTCATTACCTTTACTATTATTTACTTCATCTTTATCAGTGTCACTCTCTTTTTCTACCTATTTTAAATCCATTAGTAATTGCTTAATATAACTCATATCCCGGTCTTATTATTTCTTTTCTTAAAAAATTACATCCCTGCTAATCATAACTTTCTTTATAATAAGATTATACAACCCGTAACCTTTAGATTCTTCACTCACACCTAGCAGTACATAATAAAAGCTCTTATTTGCTAGTTTGATTCATCTTGCATTAGGCACATGAACATGTGCCACACATCTAAACACTTTAAAATGTTTTACTAAGGGCTTCACTCAACTTCATGCTTCTTTTGGAGTTATGTCTTTAATTGCAAGAGTGAGATACCTATTTAACACATATATAGTCTAGTTCACTACCTCAAGCTACAAGGCTTTGAGAATCTTTTTGTCTAAAAACATGGACCTCACCAAGTTCATCAATGTCATATTTTTTCTCTCAGCCACTCCATTTTATTGAGGATTGTAGGCTGTGATGAGCTGCCTTTTAATTCCATTCTATTTACAAAACTTATTGAATTCCATAAACTTGAATTCATAACCTTTATCAGTTCTTAAACACTTGATAAACTTGCTAATTTTTTTTTTCAACAGACTTTTTAAAATACTTAAAATATTGGAAAGCTTCTAATTTTTCTATCAAAAACTTAACTTATACTTTTTTGCTATAGTCATCAATAAGGCATAAGAAATACCTTTATTTGTTGTTTGAGATAGGTACGATTAGGCCATAAATGTCAGTATAAATGAGTTGTAACTTCTGAAATGCTTTTCTCTAGCCTTTATTTAGGATGAGATCTTTGTGCTGCTTACCAACTACACAAATAGTATATATTGTAATTAATGTAGGAAGCTATGGTAATCCCTAAACCATTTTCTTGTATTGCATGTTTCTTAGTCCTTCATAACTAAAATGGTCATATCTGAAATGCTATAGATGTGAAAACTCTTGTACAAGTGTATGGAATAAGAAGCTTTTTTTACTTGAGCCCATGCCAATAATATAAGCATTCTATTAGTTGTCATCCTGGTTTGAATAACCAAACCTCTTATGGGATAGTAGATCTTGCACATCCATGTTTTGATAAGAATAGCCTAACCTTTTTCTTGTAATTATCCAACACTTAAAATGTTATTCTTCAATTTAGGTACATAAAACACATTTATAACAACATGATGAAGCCATCCAAATACAACTTGATTTTTCCCTTCCCGAGTACTATCATTTTTATATTGTTTCCAAGTTTCACTAGTTATCTAAACCCCTCATTCAACTTATAGAACATAGTTTTATCTCCACACATATGATTTGAGCACCCAGAATCCAAAAACCATGCATCTTCATGCTTAGCTTTACACAATTCCATATAAGATATTAACAATATCCCTTCTTCCTTATCAAATTCAACATAATTTGCCTCTTTGTTCGTAGGAGGACATTCAGACTAGGAGTGGCCAAGCTTATGGCACCTATAACACTCTATAGTGGTTTTGTTGGAAGTTTGACACCTTTTGCCTCTTTCCCCTTCTTTAAAATGTCTTTTACTTTAGCCTCTACCTTCAAACCTATCTTTAAATGTCACTTTTAAGGCTTGTTCTTTCCCACTACTTTTCTGGAACTTTTGTTCATATATAATTAATGAGCTTTTCAACTTATTGATTGAGAGCACATCGATGTCCTTGGATTCTTCGATTGAACAGATTATATAATTGAATCTGTTAGTCAAAGATCTAAAGATCTTCTCCATAATTGTTACATCTCGCATTTGCTCCCCATAAATCCTTATTTTATTGGTGAAGGTCATAACTTAGCAAAGTACTCAGTGATGTTCTCACATATTTCCATTTTGAGGGTCTCAAACTCTTTCCTCAATGCTTTGAAGAATCGAACATTTCACTCTTGCATTCCTTTCATATTTCCTCTTCATCGAATCCCAGATTAGCTTAGAGGTGTTATTCTTAAGATGGTCTCTAGAATAGTCTTATCAATTGCCTGAAACAAGTAATTCTTCACTTTCAGGTCCTTAAACTTTAATTCCTCGATTCTCTTTTACTATGCCTTAGTTATAAGTGCTCTTGCCTTGAGCTCCATATAACTTGTCTCAACCAAGCTCTAAAATTCCTTGGATCTCAAAAAATTCTCTATAAGCATGCTCTAATGGTCAATGTAACCATCAAAGGGTGTTGTAAATGGTTGGATAAAATTGCCATTGTTTTGTTCGCCATCTCTCTCTTTTACTCTCTTGTGTTTGGAAGTCATTAGAAAGACTACGTCTCTTCTTTTTCTTAGGCTCAATGGTGGCAATTTGTTATGAATAGATGATCAAGATAATTACAAGTGATCAAGAACTCAAGAAAATTTGAATGAATGGCGCTTTAAAATAATAAAGCTTTTTTTAATAGTGGACTGCTCTACGCTATAAGATAATAGAGCTTTTTTCATTCACAATGAACCTAAATCAACATGTGCTTCAAAATTTAAGAGATTGAATTATATATCAGCATATGACTTACAGATGCTTGCATGTTAACACATTTGACAATAGTTACATCTCTTGTTAAACGTGCTAACACTCACTTTCACTTTCTAAGTATATGTGTTGGAAGTGTAGTAGAGATTATTTTATAAAGTATTTTTTATATAGAAATATATTAAAATAATATTTTTTTTAAAAAAAATTCATTTATAATATCAGCATCAAAACAATCAAAAACACAAAAAAAATAAAAATTCATTTGTAGCTAATTGAACATTAAATATCAGCATCAAAACAATCAAAAACACACAAAAAAAAATCATTTGTAGCTAATTGAACATTTGAGGTTTTATAAATTGCTACGTACAATATTGATTTCAAATGCTTTTGTACAAGCAAGTTTGCAAAGAGATTAAATTAAATAAGTCAAAATCTGACCAGTCTTCATAAAATTAAAAACAATTGTTTGGTAATCTGACTCGCAACTTTGCTATCGTGAAAAAGGTATTCTCGCAGTTTTGTACAGCAACTTGCAAGCATCTTTCGGTTTCTTCAGGCCATCTCTAGGCCGGTATTGAAACATTCTCTTCAAGAAAGATTAAAATATAAGAAAAGCAGTTCTTCGTGGTGAAGATTAAAATATAAGAAAAGCAGTTCTTCGTGGTGATTGATGAATCTTTGAATCAACATGATTAACCCGACTCTTTGCCAGGAATTTGATAGCAGCATTTCTTTACTATGTTCAAAATGTGGTCGCTGCATTTTATGCATTAGACTCTGGTTTTAATTTGGACTTTTGAGACCTGTGCACTTTCATTTTCAAACTCTACGCTCAAAATGCAATAAATTTGTCAGCCGAGAGTTTTTTTGCCCTTCCTTTCCAAATTTCTTGGATATTTCCATTCCTCAAAGTAAGACACCGAGTGGCCGGAGATTCACGCGTGGATTTATTCAAGTTCCGCATCTATGAATTCTCAGCTTGTTCCATCCCAGCACAAGAATAAATTCCATTCAACGATACAACTCTAAATTAAATCACCACAACCACTATTATCCCGTTATTTGGTTGGTATATTCAGTGATTTTTTAGTAAAATAAATCTCAATTATTTTGATTATTATTTAATAAAATATAACTTAAATACAGATCGAGAAGTTTTATGACGCTCAGATCATGAACTTGAATTTTATCTTCTCTGTTCTTGTCCGCAACAGCATGTAATTTTCTTTTCAGGATCCAATCAACCTGATGAATGAAATAAATATTCGATCCAAAGAATCAATTGCACTCGCGAGTATCCACAATCAAAAGATCACTCGTTCACCATCAGTGGCTAGTCGATCAATGCAAACCAACTATTCGGTCTCCTTTCCACATGTAACCCTCTCCAAAAACCACAGTGGGCCGTTTATGGCTAGTTTCTAATGGATTGGGCCCGATCAAATTACCACCATTTAACTTTACAAAAGAGAAGAGAAATCCAAGTACTGGCCAGTTCAATTATTTTGAAAATTTCTGCTGCGTATAATTTTGAAGTTTATCAGTAGCTGCTGATAGCGAAGAATTCGACAGCAAGAGAGCACACGAACTAGCAAGCACAAAAGGCAAATATATCAGATAGTTATTATGTAGTGACTCGCATGTTGTATCCCATTCAAATGTGTTTTGAAGTTCTAAAGTGCCAACGGTTGGCTCTACTGTAATGAAATTTTACAGAGGCATGCATCTTCTCATATTTCCACTATAAACTTCATTGAAGACTACGCAACTTGCAGATGGCTATCATGCCAGAGAATTTCTTTTCAGAGAACGACAAGGGAAAGATTGTGTTAAAAAGAGCGTTTCCCATAACCTTGAGATGCTTCATTCACCATTCAGAACATGCAGTAAAAATAAGTTATATGCCATAAAATCAGCAACAGAGGACGTGTTTTACAAGACCAGAAGCATCTTAAAGTGCGTTTATAAGAACTAGTCCCTCTGTTAAGAAAAAAATCCATCTCATGAACATTATGCGCATGGACCTCGGCCATTGTTCTCCGTCCTATTTTTGTTTGACACCAGAAACACTGTAAAACTTTGAAAGGTTTTGCAAACAATTGAATCCATATGTAATTTCATTATGCTACGACAACCGACATTTTAGCAAGTATTCATAACAAAAGACAAGGAAAAAAAGAGTATTTCTGTTACACGAAACAAAGGGTCCAAACCCAGATAATAACTAGTAATTACAAGGGATTGGATACAGCAAGAATTATTCATACCTTCAAGAAATAGAATAATGGGGGAAAAGGTGGAGACGAGAGCAAGACAACATAGAATGGATGGTTCAAAGGCTTTGAAGTAGTTTCAGGGTTTCATCAATATGCTTTTCAGGTTGGAACTGATTGTTGTAGATGAGTTGGACCACCCCTTTCTTGTCCAGAACATATGTCTGTCTCCCAGGTAAGGTCCCGAACAGGTCTGCTGGCACTCCCCACTCTTTCCTTATCTTGTTACCTTCGTCGCTCAGCAATGTAAATGGAAGTCTGTATTTTTTGGCAAATGCCTATAGTCATCGCACCATTTGTTAGCACAATGTCATTCAAGAAATTTGTTCTGCATTTTGAAATTGCACAACTCACAGATGCATCTAGCATTTCATATATGATAGTAAATAGACACGCATAACTAATTTACGACTGATTAATCAAATTGTTGGAGTATGGGTAAAATTATTCAGGAAAAGTAAATTTCTCAGCTTTAGCATTAATTTGCTCAGTAAATATGTCATCCTTGTGAGTGTTGAAACGGAAAGAGAAATAAGATCTTTTATATTAACCTGCTCTGGGATAAAAGGAAGCTTGGTTTTACCTTGTGCGATGATGAGTCATCACCACTAATTCCAACAACCTCAGCGCCTGCTTTCTTGAACTTCTCATAAGAATCTCTAAAAGCACAGGCCTGCAAAATACTTCATTTTTTATATATAAATTCACTACCTAAAGATGCCTGTAATTGATGAACATACCAACTTAGCTCTCTTCTCATCAATTTATAGTAATCAGGTTTTTTTCGTAGTGAAAACTCCTAAGCAAAACCTTCCTACATTAACGATGGCCTTTGAAGTAATTGGGGAGCCACACACACACACACACACACAATTGCAAATTTATTAATAGATAGTGCTTTCTAAAGTAATAAAATGGATCACCAAACTTCCTGGGCAGTGGCTGCTGAACATGTTTTATAAATGTAATGGAAAAAAGTTAAAGATTCTCTTGGTCTAGTGGCAGTCCTAGAAACCAAACTTTCTTATAGCAGAATTAGCATATTCTAATCAAGCTCACAGTGACACCTTGTGATGATACTCAAAATGCAATTATAATCCTTTATCTTGCCTACATTATCTTAACTTTGGGTGGTCTCCCCATGAAAAAAAAATGAAAGCTTTTGACGTGACAGGGATTTAGTCACCTGTTTGGTGCACCCAGGGGTTTCATCTGCAGGGTAAAAGTAGACAACCACAGGCTTCCCTTTGAATTTGGAGAGGGACAAAGTCTTTCCATCCTGATCTTTCAAAGTGAAGGATGGAGGCACCTGTCCTTTGTTTACCTAAAGACACAGGAAATAACCAATCAATCAACAAATGAATGCTATAAAAGCACACAGTTTCCATCGTGGAGCAAAATGTACCTTGGCAAAAATGGTATTCTTCACCGAAGAAGAAGATGGGATTGAAAGAGAAGTAGAATGGGAGAACTTGAGGCCATAGAACTGTGACTGCGATGACTTGGAGAGAATTGGGAGGTTTTGAGAAGATGAGGTTATGGGTTTAAGAGTGGGAAGCAAAGAGGGCAGAGAGTGTTTAGGGAGAGAAATGGAAGCCATTTCGACAAGGATAAGGAAACAACAGTAGCAACCAAAGTGTGAAATTTTTTTGGTTTCAATTATCTTACATGTGCACAGTAGTGGAGGAAGATAAGGAGATGAAGTCGCTGATTGGGGGAGGGGTAGAGAGAAGATGGGGATGGATTGGGTTCTTGGCGTGGACAATTGCTGGCCCCAACCTTTAATGGCTACTGGGCTCCCCTGACCATCCCTGATTCTCCGTATTCTTACAAATTTACGGGGCTACAGATTTGCAATGTTCATCAGTGTTTATTTAATTGCCATTTATTTGATTTGGTGCACTATTGCCACGATGGAAACCTACAAAATCTCCGCTCCAAATGCAAATTTTCCATGTTTTTTTTTTAATAATTTTTAAAAAATTATTTTTCAAACTTTTCTGTATTTATTTATTATTAAAAAAATTAATTAATAAAAAATATTTTCTGATCAACAGAAAACACTTTCCAGTTAACGAAAAACACTTTCTTGTCAACAAAAAATATTTTTCGGTCAAAGAAAAATTTGGCTTAGTTTTCAGGAAAGTGTTTTTCTTTTTAGCTATGTTTATTTTCCGGAAAGTGATTTACAGAAAAACATTTTCCAAACTTTCTTGTGTTTATTTTCTAGAAAGTGGTTTATGGGAAATCACTTTCTAAAATTTCTTGTGTTTGTTTGTCGTTAGGAAAGTTGGTAAATGAAAAACATTTTCCAGAATTTTTTTTTTCAATTTTATTATTATTCAACTTTTTTAATTTGTAAGATTTGTTCCTCATTATTTTAATAAACTTGAGAAAAATAAAACATTAATAAATTATTTTCCAGTTCATTTTTCATAACATAACCAAACACTGGAAAGTATTTTCTAGTTCATTTTCCATAACACTACCAAACATCAGAAAGTAATTTACTTTTCAGGAATTTATTTTCCCCGGAATTCACTTTCCAAAAAAAAACAATTTTCCTGCAAACAAACGGAGCCTTAAAGAGTTCAAATTTCAAACTCGTTTCAAATCGGCTTAGGATCTCAAGGGATGATTGGTGCGGGATATTGCCCAATTACTCCTACCTTAGGTTATCAATTTTGTTTATTCCTGTTTTAAATCATCCGTATACCTTTTTCAGTTTAAAATATAAAATAAATTAGAAAATATTTTATCTCACTTAAAATTCCAGTTTTTTCAAGAAATTCTGCTCAAATTCTAGTTAGAATGTTCTAGTTTTGTTCTGTTCCGTTCAAATAATTTTTTTTATTTTTTTAAATAACATTCAATTTTATTGTATCTATCATATCTCTCAATCCGACTGTTATTTTAAATTGAAATTTTACAAAAAGTTTCCTAACATATTAGTATATCTTAGTTTAAAATGTTAGAGCAATTAGAGATTAGAAAGGTCTCGTGAGACTGTTGATGATATTTTTATAATTTTGTTCAAATTCATAATTTTATTCAGAAAAGTCATTTTATTGTGTCCTTTTATTAGATTAACTTTTTTCTCAATTTTATTATTTAATAATGAGTTTATTTGGAATTGAGTTTTATAATTTCTATTTAAGTTAGTTTATTAAAAAAAGATGGCATCTTAATTTTTTTAGTTAAACTATATTTATATCAATTATTTATGTTATTTTTGGACTTATCGAGTTGATCAGGTCATACCGGTTCAACTCTCACTTTTTTTTATCTTTGTTGAAAATTTGTTGCATAATTTCAAATTAATTTATCTTTGGTTTTGAATTAAAATTATGTTTATTAAATCAATATTTTGAATTGTGTATGTGTTTGTGTGTGTATGAATAGTATAACAACAACACGCTAAAATGCTCCAAGACCAAAACATATTATTCTAATTGAAAAAACAGAAATAGAATTGAAAACCTTGCTTCCTACAAGGTATTCTAGAAGGAAAGAAAATTATTGTTTTTAAATCCTAAAAATCTAACATTCTTTAGACATCAATGGTTATTCAACCATAGGTGGAATAATGTTTTTCAGTAAAAAATATAAATTTTATTCTACAAGTCTTTTAATAGCAAATGCAAAAAAAAATGTTGAAATATGAAAATTAAAAATAATAAATAAGAAATTTTAAAAATAAAAAAATGGGATAATTGAGGTTAACCTATCAAACTTGCAAATCGAGTCATGAAATTAATTAAATTTAACATTTTATTTATTTTAATTTTTTTTTCATTTAATTATATGTCAACTAGGTGCACTGGATTTTTTTATATCAAATACCATTTTTATATATATAAAAAAACAAGGTAATGCTTGGGACTAAAATATAAAAAAATAACCTTATTTTTTTAAAAGTTTGATAACAAAAAAAGGTTTTCTTTTAAAGTCAAATAAGAAAGACCTTAAAAAAATGATGAAATGCTTTTTTTTTTTTTTTTAATGTTAAGGGATTAAAAACACATCAATTTAAAAAATTAAAAAAAAACAAACATATACACTAAATTAGATAATATTCTATAAAACAAATATAAAATATTATTTAAAAAAAAACCAAAATTAAAGGATGAAATTAGAAGAAAAAAATAAAAGGATAAAAAAATTAATAGACAAAAAAAAAAGCTTAGACATGTGGGCTTAATTTGGAAGGCCAATATGTCTAGGCTTAAAAAGCTTAAGTACATGGTCTTATAGCTCAGACCCGCATGTCTGGGCTAAGTTAATTTTTTTAAGGGAAAATAAGTTGTCGTTCACCTTTATTTTTCTTTAAAAAAAAAACAAGCAAAGTGTTGCTTGTTATAACAATTGAAGTGTCGTCGGTTCCTTTGTACATTTTCAGCCATCATGGTGGATGGAAAATCAAGGAATATGTTTTTTACATGAAAACTTATTTTTCAACTTGTTTTGATCCAAACATCAACAAAACACTATAGATATCTTGGTAAACTTATCCATGGCTTAAAAATAATCCACAAACTTGAAATCAACCTGAAACCAAAAATATCTTCTAATGGCAGGTCACACCTAATTAAAAGAAGAACACTTTCTCTTTGTTACAGGTTATGCAACAAGAACATGAGCTCATCGATGTGGTATTGGATAATATAAGGAATTGATTAGACAGAAATAAAGTTATGCATACTAATTTTCAAAAGAGATGATCCTAGAAGGGTTCCTAATGCAAGGCAATAAGAGATATTAAGGCTTTAAGTTAGGAATGCTTATGATAAAAAAAAAAAAACTTGTATAGGATTTATTAAGGCAAGCAAGGATGAACAACTTATAATGCTTATTAAAAAAAAATAAACTACTAGATAAATGAGAAGTTGCAGACTAATGTTAAAAGGATATAAAATGATTACATGGTGATTCAAAAACATCAAGTTTTAAAACTATAAGTAAAAAGGCTAAAAACTTATTGAGTTTTTGTGACTATTTAGAAAAAAAGAATGGGAAAGAGTTTGGATAAAAAACTATTGCTACAATAACAATTTCATGCCAAAACCTAGATCACACGCTAGAGGATAAAATGAAAATTAAGCATGAACTTCAAGAGGAGAGTAGTGATGATGTCTATAAAGTTAAAGATTGTAATGTAAAACAGGAGATAGGTTCTACAATTTATGATAATTCTGAAGTTCTTGAACTAAACAATAAAAGTGAAATAACCAACAAACTTGAAGAAGATACAAGAATAATGAATATAAAGTAGATCATTGCAATATGAGTTTGGAAAGCTTAGGTAAATAAAATTAAGATAATAATGAGAGTTAATTAGTTTCGTGGAACACATAAGCTACACTAGTTGATGACCACAAAAAAATAGTTCTTTCAATTGTTCTTATGAAATAATGTGAGATTTTTTTGGAGAGCTTTAAGATGAGATAAAATGATGTTATGGCTGAAAACCTTGGGATGAAAACAAAAAATGTTAAATTAGCTAAAATAAGAGAAAATAATGATTTGTTTGAGAGAAGGAACGAAAAGAGGGGTCACTTATGAAGAAAAAAGAGTATTGAAAAAACAAAGAAGCATGGGAGCTTTTATGCAAGAAAGAGTGTTGTTGAGAATGTTCTTTATACTAATAATTATAGCAAAATGATGTTTCTTTTTCTTTATTGCAAGATTACGAGGACGCATTACCCACTTATAGTGTTTGTATTATTACTTCAAGGATGAATCTTTTCAAGGAGAGAGAGAATAATGAGAAATAATAAGCATCACTAAAGAATCAATTAGGAGTTACAATTGAGCCAATTATAAGGTCTAAAACTAAGAAGATTCAAGAGAAGTCTATTGGGTTGATTCAAGATGTTTAGGTTAAAAATTTGAAATATACCAAACTAGACCTTTTGTGTACTATTTTGGTCATATCTTAAGCTACAAGTGGAATTTTATTGTGATTCTTATTAGGATAGAAACAAGACATCTCAAGTTTTTCAACCATATATAGTAGGCCTAGTAACTCATCCATATGAAAGAGAACAACATGTTTCAAGTCATGTTTAAAACTTGCTAACAAACAAGGAAAGTCAAAAAAAAAAAAAAGAAGATTGTTTTGCATATGATTTATGGATTCTTATAATACAGAGATTTAATTACATGTTGAATTCTTATTTTGCAAGATTTCTTTACTTTCCAAAAAGATTAATAAAGAAACAAATAATGATTCCTTATGCAATAATAATCCTTATTATTCAAGGAATAATGATGGTTTTGAGCTTGTTTTTCTTAATGCACAGTTTTAAGCTAATAAGCATAATATTTTATCTGATCATTTAATCAAATTGAAGTTTTAGTAGAAGATTATAAAGACCTTGTTTCCTATAGTTTTAAAATTTTATATCAATCAAATACTAGAAAGTCCTTATGATAAAGTCTAGACGCGCTAAAGTTATATTATTTTTCTAGTTGATTTATGATTTTATTTTATTTTTTTAGAATTCTTTTGTTATTTTTTCAGCATCTTTTATTATATTTTATCTAATATTAATAGGTTTATTTAACTTGTATTTAGGTTTTTCAGGACAGATGATTTATTTCAGAAATAATATTATATGTGTGCAAAGTTACAGATACTTATGATTCTTTATTGAACTCATCAAAACTTATCAAATAATTATGTATTTATAGCATGCATCATTATCTCTTTTGTTCTTAGTTTTTTTTTATAATCAAAGGGTCTTTCATCGATAAC